GTGCATGCAATTAATCTGACCTCCGCTCATTTTACATGCCGTACAAATTATATGTTAGAAGAACCTCCGTGCAATCAAATTTAATAATCTAGATGCTTGATTTATTGATCCGAACTTTCTTTATTTTTTTTTACGGTTTGTAAGATCTCTGCTGGTTTCGGAGAGTTCAGAATGTAAGAGCTGGCTTTTATTCAAATCACAAGTTGAGAGTTTAATTGAATTGTCCACAGTGTGCAGGATTTTGATTTAAAATATCAGGAAGATAAATTTATTGATTTGCAATTCAAAGATATTTAGCAACGTTACTCTGTTTCATCCATCCAGAATGATTTAAGACACTACTTGAACAATTTAACATTGTTAACTGTCTATAAGCACTTCAAACATTGATTATTAATGCATGGGAGTACCCTATATGTATTGTGCCATATTTCACTTTTTATGAATTGCAAATAACAGTAAATATCCCCTGATCTCACTGTAGACTATTAATACTTGACCTCCAAATATTCCAGATCTGGCCCAAATAAATGTTTTTTGTTTGTTTTTTTCATGTCACAAAGATGCCCAAGTTATTAGTGATTTTAAATCTGCCCCAATAATTCTAATAGGCTCTGTGTCAAATTAATAGCAATCATATTTTTGCATGTTGATCTGCTGATTAAAACGATTCTGTATGATACACTGTGACAAAGTTTGCTTTCAAATGACGAATGCATTTGCAATTTTGAGGTCAGTATAATCTAGATGTAATACCAGATGTAAATAATTATTAATTGACACTAATGCATGTTTATTCCCTAAAATGCAATTTTTTTATATAATAAGGCAAAGTTTGCTTTTATAAGAGGAACATATTTGCTATTTTGAGCTCAATATAATAGCTTCAGCCAATGCAATTATAGGCCTGCTATTTATTGCCTGCTGACAGTTTCTAAACTCCATTACTAGTTCTACAACAGTTCAAATAAAACCTATTAGCAACTCTATTACGTATACATGTATTTTAATATTTTAATTTGCAATAATATGGCATCATTAATCTAAATAGCTATAATAACTGGTTGCATTGTTTTCCCTCACGGTAAAACTCTCAAAGACATTATAACTGCAATAAAAGTATGTAATGTAAAACTTTACAAACTGGCTGAGTTTGAATTCCAATTACATAAACGCTGAAGTAATTAAATGTAGCTTATTACACTGGCAGTGACTGGCCATACATATCTTGCTCACATATTAATTATTATGCACATATTGTAAATGCAAATTTAAATACTATTAAAGTCGCTCAGCAGAAGGATTACTTCTTCTTTTTCTCAGTAGTGCATCATATTTAGTACAGTGGTCAGCACAAAACCACCTTTGATTTCCATTTCAAAATCCCCTGAACACTGCAATATCTATCATTCTATGGCATCACAGACGATTAATAATGAAATCTGATGCACTGAAGCGGTTTCTTTATGCAATCTGCAAGCATGTTGAAACGCAATGACTGATGGTTAGAGACAGAAATAAGCGGGCAGCGTCTCGTACCTGACCCTGTGCTGTGCTCCACTGTTTTGGAGTGTGCCGTCTGTGAGGTAGAAGTGGACTGGGACCTCTGGTCTGAACTCATGCTGTCACTGTCCTGGCCGAGAGCCGAGCTGCTCTTGCGGGGTTTCTTATCGGTCAGGTGCAGCGGAGAGCTCTTCTTAATGGCCCTGTTGCGAGGGCGGATGGTGGCGTTGACTTTAAGGTAGGCTTGAGCCTTGTACTCCTTCAGCTCTCCGTAGTTAGCGTCTGTGACGCGACATTCGTACAGACCCTCGTCGTTCTTACTCACCCGAGAGATCTGCAGCTTGTGGGAGATGTCATTGCCTTGGACCTTGACTGTCTGTGAAGAGAATGCAAGACAAATCCTCAGATGAACTTGCTGCTATAGACCAACCGATTATTACCTTTATTATAGCCTTTCATAACAGCAGAAGGTTCCATCGAATTATTTAACCCTATAAAGCCTACTGCATCATATTTGATGCACGTCAAGCTTTGCTGTCGCACACAATCTTCTTCACACCTTCTGTCGTCTGATTGATAGTTTAGAGTGTTTTATACAGTAAAAGCTCTTTTAGTGTAATCGTACAAACGTTCAGCTTCAGCTCGAGCTTCTTGTGTCTTTCTGTTGTCAAATCTTGACTGATTTTGATCAAGTAAAGGTCAGAATAACT